TGCTGCTCGTGGTGTCGGAACTGCCGCGAGGAAGGCAGGAGGGGTCGGGCAGCCAGCTTGCGAGCGGCAGCAGCTACACAGCAGCAGCAGCAGCAGCAGCAGCAGCGCGCGCTGCTGCTGCTGCTGCTGCTGCTGCTGCAGTGACGGCGCACTGTGGGGCCAGGCACCCCATGACAGCCTCAGGCGGCCGCTGCTGGACTTGCAGGGGCCCCTAGGGGACACAGTTTGTGGGGGCCCCCCTTTTTGGGAGGAGAGGGATGCTGAGCTGCAGCAATGCAGCAGCAGCAGCAGCGCAGCAGCAGCAGCAGCAGCAGCAGCGTTTTCTTCCGCAGACCCCTTTTGCTTCTCAGAAGGGCAGCGCAGCAGAAAGGAACTTCCTTCTGCTTTTATTTCTTTTGAACTGCAGCGTGAGGCAAAGGCCCACGGCGGTGGGAGCCTGCTGCTGTCCCCAGACGAGCAGCAGCTTGCTGCTGCTGCTGCTGCTGAGGGCGCATGCAGCAGCAGCAGCAGCAGCAGCAGCAGCAGGGTGTGGAGGGCGACAGAGCACAGCCGTTTATTTTCGCGGCTTCAGTCAGTGTACGTACAGCTGGGGGACGTTTCGCTTGCGCGCCTGCAGCTGCTGACGGGAAGGTATCAAATGGCAGCAGCAGCAGCAGCAGCAGCAGCAGCGCCGCAAGTTGCTGCTGCTGCTGCTGCAGGTGGCCGAGGCGGCAGCAGCAAGCACCGGAGCGCGCTAGTGCAGCAATGCGAGGCCGACGTGGCTGTGGGGAGCCTGAGCTGTTTGCTGCTGCAGCAGCCGCCGCCTTCTCTGTGCCACAGCAGCGATTTTGCTGCTGCTGCTGCTGCTGCGCTGCAGTGGACAGCCCCCTGCGCAGCGCGGCGACGCTCTTTGTCTCTTGCTGCTGATGGTTTCACTCTGCTGCCATCAACCACGCCGTCCCCGGGCCCCGCCCTGCAGCAGCAGCAGCAGCAGCAGCAGCAGCAGCAGCAGCAGCGGCAGCAAATGGCACGGCCCATCGTGGCTGCTGTTGCGGAGGGGCTGGCTCTCCAGGTGGCAGCAGCTTCCGTCACCCAGCCCGTACTGTCGCAGCCGCACAACCGAGCAGCAGCAGCAACAGCAGCAGCAACAGCAGCAGCAGCAGCAGCAGCAGCAAAGTCAGAGACAAGCGCAACGGCAGCAAGCCACCTTCTTTTTGGAGTGGAGTCTCTGCACGTTGAAGATTGCCTGACTCTGGAGGCGACCCCACAGCCGTCTCCGAGTTGGCTTACGCAGCAGCAGCAGCAGCAGCAGCAGCAGCAGCAGCAGCAGCAGCGGCGGCGGAGCACGCAGGACAGCAGTGGCGGCCACCGTAGACGCAGGCGCCGGCGTACACCCACAGCAGCAGCAGCAGCAGCTGCTGCTGCAGCAGCAACTGCAGCAACCACGACAGAGGTCTTGGCGCTGCCCCCTTGCCGGCCCCCAGGGCGTTTCGCGCTGCTGATGCAGCTGCTGCCTCCAGAGCCTCCGCAGCAGCAGCAGCAGCAGCAGCAGCAGCAGCAGCAGCAAGTGCAGGGAGTGCCCGCATCGCGTTGCGCTTCAGCGGATGAGTGTCAGGCTCCAGGCTCCAGCTCAGCAGCAGCAGCAACAGCAGCAGAAACAGCAGCAGCAACAGCAGCAGCAACAGCAGCAGCAGCAGCAGAAAGAGCAGCAGCAGCAGCAGCAGCAGGAGAGGGCGTGAAGCCCGTGCTGCTGTGCCTCTCTGTGGAGGCGCTGCGGCTGCAGCTTTGCGCAGCTTTGCTTGCGCATGCAGGTGGGCTTGGGTCTTTTCTTTTGTTTTAAATTCAAATTAAATAATTATTAATTAATTTTAAAATCTTTTCAATTCCGAAGTTAAATAATTCATTAATCTTGAATAATTCAAATGTGCAAGTGAAAGGCACGGGCAAAAAGGCCCCTGGCAGCAAGGCGCTTTGCTGCAGTGCACGCCACCTGCTGCTGCTGCTGCTGCTGCTGCTGCTGTTGCTGCTGCAGCTGCCTGGAGCCTGAAGGTCGTGGGGGACTCCGCTGAACTCAGCCGCTGCCTCTTTCCCGCCGAACCCACTAGCCCTTGGCAGCCCCCAGACAGCAGCAGCAGCAGCCCCGGCAGCAGCAGCAGCAGCCACGGCGCTGCTGCTGCTGCTGCTGCTGCTGCTGCTGGCTCTGGGGCTGCGAGCCGCTCCCGCGAGGCCGCTGGGGACTCCGAGAGTTCCGTTGCAGATGCAACTGCAGATGATGGCACTCCCTTCGCTTTTGCTGCTACAGCAGGGGCCCCATTAACGGACCTCACTGCAGCAGCAGCAGCAGCAGCAGCAGCAGCAGCAACAGCAGCAGGAGCTGCTGGGCGCGCTGCTCCGCGCGAGTTGTCCTGCGAGTCGGCGCCTGCGGCGTCCGCGTGCTCACCGTCTCCGGCAGCAGCAGCAGCAGCAGCAGCAGCCCCCGCAGCTACCTGCACCCCACCGGCTGCTGCAGCAGCAGCAGCAGCAGCAGCAGCAGCCCCTGCTGCTGCTGGGGGCGCTGCGGCGGCGGGGCTTGTGGGGCGCCTCTACGGGGCCCCGCTGCTGCTGCAGAAGATCTCAGCAGCAAACTGGACCCTGGCAGTGTCCCCCGACGGGGCCCTTTGGCTGACGCTGCAGCTGCCTGCTGCTTCTCTGGCGCTCTCGGGGCAGCAGCAGCAGCAGCAGCAGCAGCAGCAGCAGAGCCTGTGCTGCGCGGGGGAGGGCCTCGCGCTGCACGTGGGGCCCCTGCCCTCGCCCTCCGGCTGCTGCTTCTTGGGGGCCCCCCCCTCGCCCTTAGCTGCTGCTGGTCTGCTGCGGCTGCTGGTGCCTTTGGGCCCCTCTTCCCCGGACTTCCCGCGGGCGCTCACGCTCGAGCTGCTGCCGCAGCAGCAGCAGCAGCAGCAGCAGCAGCAGCAGCAGCAGCAGCAGCAGCAGGGGGGGGGGCTGCGGGCCGCAGCAGACGCGCAGCAGGCCGGGCTGCTGGGCCAGTGGGGCTGTCTTTGCTGCTTAGCTGTTGCAGAAACTTCGAGGGCCCTTCACGGGGGGGCCCAAATAGTCCGCAGAGACACGGGAGTTCCTTTTGCTGCTGGGGGCCCCCGCAAGTTGCTGCTGCTGCTGCGCCGTTTGCTGCACTCCGCGCACCTCTGCACGCTCCAGGTGTACGTACACCGCGTGGCCCTCCTCGCGGCTCCCCGCGGCGCCCTCGCGGCGGCTCCCAGCAGCAGCAGCAGCAGCAGCAGCAGCGGCAGCGGCTGCGGCTGCTGCGGCTGCTGCTGCTGCTGCTGCGGGGCAGGGGGGCAGCAGGGCGGCTGGCTTGCTGCTGCTGCAGCAGCAGCTTCCCTCAACTTGAGACTCACGCGGGAGGGGCAGCTCCGCTCCGCACGGGCAGCACTCGAGGGCCTCAGGGTCTTTGTTGCGGACACGCAGCAGCAGCAGCAGCAGCAGCAGGAGCTGCAGCAGCAGAGGCGCTGGCGAACAGCGGCAGCAGGCTGCAGCAGCAGCTGCTGCAGCAGCAGCAGCAGCAGACTGGTCCTGTACCAGGCGGTCTCCGGGTGCCCCAGCCCTCCTTCTCTTGCTGAAGTCGCGCTGCTGCTGCCCCGCAACTCGCTGGGATTCGGCAGCTCCTGGCAGAGACACTTGCCTCCTGTTGTTGCTGCTGCTGCTGCTGCTGCTGCTGCTGCCCCTTCTGCTGCAGGGCGAAGGGGGACCCCCGGGCTGCTGCCTCCGCTGCAGCAAGGCCCCGTGTGGGGCTGGCCAGCAGCAGCGCCTCAGACGCACTCTGCTGCTGCTGCTGTGAACGCCCCGTGGCGCTCTGCTACTACACTGCAGCAGCAGCAGCAGCAGCAGCAGCAGCAGCAGCAGCAGCAGCAATGGCGTGAGCCTGATGGAGCGGCTGGTGACTGCTTCGTGGGCTCAGAAGAAGCAGGAGAAGCAGAAGAGGGTGGCCGCGTGGAAGCGTGGCAGCTGGAGCTAGTGCTGCGGCAGCAGCAGCAGCCGTCAGCAGCAGCAGCAGCAGCAGCAGCAGCAGCAGCAGCAGCAGCAGGGAAGCCAGGGGCGGGGAGCGCGGCACAGCCTGCGGCGGCTGCGGCGCCCCCGCTGCAGCTGCGTCAGTCGCTGCAGTGTTTGCTGGTGATCCCCGAGGTGCACTTGCTGCTGCTGCCAGCAGCAGCAGCAGCAAAGCTGCGCGTGCTGCTGTCGGACTTCTGCGTCGCACTGAAGGAGACAGAAAGATCTGCTGCAGAAGTGCGGCAGTGTCTCTTCAGGGGCCCCTCGAGTTCTTTGTCTTCTCTTCCTTCTGCTTCTCTTCTTTCTTGCGACAAGTCCTTTACGGAGGGGCCCCTGGAGCCAGCAGCAGCAGCAGCAGCAGCTAGCACTGCAGCAGCAGCAGCAGCGGCAGCAGACGCGGCGGCTGCAGGCCCCGGCGACCCCGAGAGCCAGCTGTACAGCCACCTGACCTCCTTGGAGGAGCTCAGCAGCAGCTGCACGACAACAACCGCAGCAGCAGCCGCAGCAGCAGCAGCAGCAGCAGCAGCAGCAGCAGATGCTGCAGCGCCAGCAGCAGCAGCACTCGCGGACTTGGGGGCCCTCAAAAAGGCCCCCCCCACAGACCTCCACGGCCGCCGCCGCAGCAGCAGGGGGCCCCTGGTGGCGGGCGAAGGCCCGGGGCCCTCGCTGGCAGCAGCAGCAGCAGCAGCAGCAGCAGCAGCGGGGCCGCAGCAGCAGCAGCAGGCGCAGGGCCTGTGGCTGCCGATCATTGGCTCCGCTGCAGCAGCAGCAGCAGCAGCAGCTGCTGCTGCTGCTGCTCATCAAGGGGCCCCCAGGACTTCTGTCACTGGCCACGTTAAAGTACATGTCTTCTGTCTTTGGCTCATGGGGCCCCTCCCAGCTGAGGGTTTGGGGGCCCCCCCCAAGTGGCGGGCTGCTGGGGTGGCTCCCAGCTGTGGCTGCAGCAGCAGCAGCAGCAGCAGCAGCAGCAGCAGCATATGGGGAGCAATGGGCAAGCCGCTGGCTCTGCCAGCAATTGCAGCACCCGCAGCAACAGGAACAGCAGCAGCAGCAGCAGCAGCAGCAGCAGCAGCAGCAGGGACGGGCGCACAGCGTCTGCTGCGGCTGGCGCCCTCGTGGGCTTGTCCGCACACTCTTCAGTGCAGTGCTGCTGCTGCTGCTTGCGAGATAGACGCGCGGCTGATTGCAGATGATGTTGTGCTGTTTCCTGCTGCTGCTGCTGCTGCTGCTGCTGCTGCTGCTGCTGCTGGCGGCGCAGCAGCTGCTGCAGCAGGCGACGCGGAGACAGACAGCTGCCCCCCCTCCGCAGACAAAGGGGCCTTCAAAGAAACTGCTGCAGCGCCGAGCAGCAGCAGCAGCAGCAGCAGCAGCGGCAGCTGCTGCAGCAGCGACAGCGACAGCGACAGCAGCAGCGGCAGCACCGGCAGCGCCTACACCGCTTCCAGCGACGCGAGCTACAGCAGCAGCAGCAGCAGAAGCAGCGGCCGCAGCAGCAGAAGCAGCAGCAGCAGCCAAACCGGCAGCAGCAGCAGCAGCAGCAGCAGCAGCAAAACCCTGTGGCTCGAGAGCTGCATAGAACAGTGGCTGCCAGCCCTCAGACTGGAAGCAGAACTGCGCAGGTGCATTTTGCTTGGGGGGTCTTTGTCTCTGCCGCCCTCGCCCCTCACCCTGCAGTCTGCAGCAGCAGCAGCAGCAGCAGCAGCAGCTCCAGCAGCAGCAGCAGCTCCAGCAGCAGCAGCAGCAGCAGCAGCAGCAGCAGCAAGGCAAGCGCGGGTGGCGTATTTGGTGGCCCTGCCGGCCTTCACCTCTCTGCGGCTCTCTCGCCTCGCAAATGCATTTCCGACTCAAAGGTATTTAGTCATGAGGCACGTAGGCGACGCGCAGCAGCAGCAGCAGCAGCAGCAGCAGCAGCAGCAGCAGCAGCAGCAGCACGAACTCCGCAGCGAAGTATGGCCGCGCGAGGTGGCGTCCGCACCTGTCGATTTGTGGGGCAGCAGCACTCCCCTGCAGCAGACTTACAGCGCAGCAGCAGCAGCTCCACCATCTGCAGCAGAGGCGTGGGCGCTGCGTTCCCAGCAGCAGCAGCAGCAGCAGCAGCAGCAGCAGCAGCAAGTTGAGTTTTGTGTGCTGCTGTTCCTCGCGGACCTGTCTATACACCCCCTGGTCGAGTCCCCGACTGCCTTCTCATTGATTTTGACCTCCAGACGCAAGGGGCCCCCTGAGCAGCAGCAGCAGCAGCTGCTGCAGCAGCAGCTGCTGCAGCAGCAGCTGCTGCAACAGAAGCACTGCGAGTGCCGCATAGAGGCCTTTCTCTCTCCTGTTCTGCTGCTGCTGACAGCAGCAGATGCTGCTGCGCTGCTCGCGGTGACCCGCAGCTACTCCGCGCAGCCGACAGGAGCAGCAGCAGCAGCTGGATTTGCAGCAGCAGCAACTGCTGCTGCTGCTGCTGCACCTGTTCGCTGCAGCTGCAAGGCCACTAGAGCCTTCCGACGGCAGCAAAAGGGGGCGGCGTCTCGAGCGCGGAGTGCAGCAGCTGCAGCAGCAGCAACAGCAGCAGGAACTGCAGCAGCAGGAGGCCGGGCACCCACCTCTGTCCCTGGCGTGGCCCGTGCTGCTGCTGCTGCTGCTGCTGCTGCTGCTGCTGCATCTGGCTCCGTGTCTGAAGGCGCGCAGTCTGCTTCCCCATGGAGCTACGGGGCCCCCCTGCAGAGCCGAGGGGGAGGGGGGCCCCTCGGGGGCCCCCTAGGGGGCCCCCTAGGGGGCCCCCTCGGGGGGCCCCTAGGGGGCCCCCTCGGGGGCCCCCTCGGGGGGCCCCTCGGGGGGCCCCTCGGGGGGCCCCTCGGGGGGCCCCTGGGGGGCCCCTTTCGTGGGTGCACTGTGTGGCGAGTGTCGCTGGAAGCTGAAGAGCTGCAGCTGACAGCAGCAGCAGCGCAGCAGCAGCTGCAGCAATTCGTGCGGCTTCGCTGCAGCGAAGTTGCTGGACAGGCTCTTCGCTCTTCTGCTGCTCCCGAGGAGACAGTTGTCTCTCTCCAGTTTAAACAGGTGCTGCTGCTGCTGCTGCTGCTGCTGCTGCTGCTGCTGCTGACGCTGACGCTGCTCCTCCTGCTGCTTTTGCTGCTGTTGCTGGCTTTGCGGCTACTGTGTGGGGTTCTGCCTCTGCTGCTGCTTGCGCTGCTAGTGCTGCTGCTGCTAGTGCTGCTGCTGCTGCTGCTGCTGAACGTGCTGCAGCTGCTAACACTGCTGCTGCAGCAGCTGCTGCTTGTCGCACGTGTGGCTGCGCCCGTTTGCTGCTCTATTGCCAGCTGCTGCTGCTTCTTTGACCGCAGCAGCACTTAATAAGTATTTTTTTAATTAATTTGATTTATATTTGTCTTCATAATTGTTTTTACTTTGAGTTTATGCCTCTACTTGAGCTGTGTCTGCTTGTTTACGCGGTGCCCACGTCCATTTGCTGCTGCTGCTGCTTCTGCTGCTGCTGCTGCTGCTGCTGCTGCAGGTGTCGGTGCAGGTGACGGAGAGCCGCAGCGACAGGATTTTGGGGAGCTGCGTGCTGCAGCAGCAGGAGCAGCAGCCGTGTCGGCCTTGGCTGCACGCGCCGCGTTCGGCGTACCAGCAGCAGCAGCAGCAGCAGCAGCTGCTGCTGCTGCTGTGTCCCGTGTCTGTTGCTGCTGCTGCGCAGCCCTGTGTCTCCCCCCCTTCCCTCAGTGTCCGCGTAGAAGGCGACTTGGAGCTGCAGGCAGATCCTCGCCAGCTGCTGACTCTGAGTGCCCTCAGTGCGCAGTTTGCTGCTGCCCTCAGCAGCAGCAGCAGCAGCAGCAGCAGCAGCAGCAGCAGCAGCAGCAGCAGCAGCAGCGAGGTGCTTTACGTGAGGCCCTACTTGTCGGCTGAGGCTCTGCGGCTTCTGTTCGCCATGTCCCCATACACCCCGCCGCTGCCTATACACCCGAAGCAGCAGCAGCAGCAGCAGCAGCAGCAGCAAATCTTTTCCTTCTCTCCCCACATTTCCAGCTGGGCTGCTGCTTACGGCGGCGCCTTTGCTGCGCCTGCTGCTGCTGCTGCAGTCGACGCCCGCCTGCAGCAGCAGCAGCAGCAGCGGGAAAACTGGCTGCGGCAGCAGCTGCAGCAGCAAGCAGCAGTGCCGACTCCTTTCGACGGCTGCTGCAGCGAAGCGGAGGAGTTCGCTGCAGCACCGCAGCAAGCAGCAGCAGCAGCAGCAGCAGCAGCAGCAGGATACGAAGCAGGCGCAGCTTCTGTCTCTTCTTTGTCAGACAAAGGAGCTGACGAGGGGACACAAACAGCAAGACTTGCTGCTGCTACTGTTGGAGTCCTTTACGATTTGCGGCAGCTGCCTAGCTACTGCCTTGCTGCTGTCCGAGAGGTAGCTGCTGCTGCTGCTGCTGCTGCTGCTGCTGCTGCGTTGCTGCTGCTGCTGCTGCTGCGTTGCTGCTGCTGCTTTGTCGTGGCTGCCGCTTTGTTGCTTTGCTGCTTGCTGCGGCTGCTGCTTTGTTGCTGTTGTTGCTGCTGCTGCTTTGTTGCTGCTGTTGTCGTTGCTGCTGCTGCTGCTTTCTTGTTGCTGCTGCTGGTGCTTTGTTACTGCTGCTGCTGCTCTTTTTGTTGCCGCTGCCTTGTTGCAGTTCCTTTCGTGCTGGTGCTGTTGCTTTGTCGTTGCTGCTGCTGCTTTGTTGCTGCTGCTGCTGTTGCTGTTCTGTTGCTCCTGCTGCTGCTGCTGCTTTGTTGCTTCTGCTGCTGTTGCTGCTTTGCTTTTGTGGTTGCTGGTGATTCGCTGCTGCCGCTATTTTGCTGCTGTCGCTGCCTTGTTGCTGCTGCTGCTGCTTTGTTTGTTGCTGTTCGTGCTGCTGCTTTGTTGCTCCTGCTGCTTTATTGCTCCTGCTTTGCTGTTGTTTCTGCTGCTGCTGCTGCTGTGTTGGTGGTGCTGCTTTTTCGTTGTTGCTGCTGCTGCCGTCTTGCTGCCAGTTTGTTGTTGCTGCTGCTGCTTTGTTGATTCGGGGTCTGCTGCTGCCAGGCGCGTATTAATTGTGCTGCTGCTTGCTTTGCTGCTGCTGCTGCTGCTGCTGCTGCTGCTGTTCAGAATTGTCTGTGGCTGCGCAACAGCAGCTGCCACACGCTGGCCTTTCGAGCTGTGAGCAGCAGCGGCGGCGGAAGCAGCAGCTGGCAGACGGGGGTGCTGCCGCCTTCTTGCGAGGCGCTGCTGCAGCAGCAGCAGCAGCAGCAGCAGCAGCAGCAGCTGTCTATACACCTGGCGGTCCTCGACGCGTCGCAGCCGCCCTCTCGGGCCCTTTACCTGCCGAGCTTTTCCCAGCTGTCTCCCTTCTTCCCAGAGCAGCAGCAGCAGCAGCAGCAGCAGCAGCAGTTCGTGGGTTCAGCGCCTGCCGCTGCAGCAGCAGCAGCAGCAGCAGCAGCAGCAGCAGGCCCAGGCCCTGCCTTCGGCAGCCTCACAGTCTTCGCCAAAACTGAAAAGGGGCAGCAAATCATTGATGTGGGGTGTCCCCTTTTGGTGCAGAGTCGGCTGCAGCTGCCGGTGGAACTCACCTTCCTCGCGGAGACAGACCCTGCTGCAGTAAGCTGCTGCTGCTGCTGCTGCTGCTGCTGCTGCTGCTGCTGCGTATGGTGTTCCTGTTGTCGCTGCTGCTGCTGCTGGTGTTCCTGTTGCCGCTGCTGCTGCTGTTGGTATTCCTTTCACCGCTGCAGTTGCTGCTGTTCCTGCTGTTGTTCCTGCTGCTGCTGCTGCTGCTGCTGCTGCTGCTGCTGCTGTTGCAGCTGCGTCAGTATTCATATAGAGGGAAAATGCGCGGAGGCTCTTTTTGCTGCTGTGTCTCTGTCTCCCCTTATTGCTGTTTTTGTTTCTGTCTCTCTTTGCGTGGCTGGCGCTGCTGCTTCGTCTCCTTGCTGCTGCTGCCACTGCCACTGTTGCTGCTGTTGCTGCTGCTGCTGCTGCTGCTGCTCCCAGCAGCCGCTTGGCTGCCGGTTTTTGACTTGTGTCTTTTGTCTGCTAGCTGTTAGCGAATTAAGAAAATGCGAATTTGCAGTTTGCTTCTTTTAGGACTTCAGAATATCTTCAAGGTCAAGTAAACTTGTCTTTCCACTAAATGCTGCTGCTGCTGCTGCTGCTGCTGCTGTTGCTGCTGCAGGACTGGCGCTGCGCGCTGCCGCCAGGCGCTAGCTGCGCAGTGCCGCTTTTTGCTGCTGCCTCTTCGGCTTCTGTTTGCGTGAAGCTGCTGAGTGAGGCGGGCTCAGTGTGGACAGCCTCGTGTGCCTTCAAGCGCTGCTGCAGCAGCAGCAGCAGCAGCAGCAGCAGCAGCAGCACGTGCCTGCTGGCAGCAGCAGTGTCTCCTCAGCGCACCTTCGTCTGCTCCCTCAAGACGCAGCAGCTTGCCGGCTTCTGCTGCTCAGGGGACCCGCAGCTGAGCAGCGCCGACAGCAGCAGCAGCAGCAGCAGCAGCAGCAGCAGCAGCAGCAGCTGCAGCAGCAGCGCGGGCCGCACGCTGCTGCTCACTCTTGAGGAGCCCATCGCTGTCACCAACGCCCTCCCCTTGTAAGTCCCCCAAATCGCCTCAGAGGCCTTCGGCACTTCTTTAAATAACTAGCTAGCTAGCTAGCTAGCTGGCTAGCTAGCTGGCTAGCTAGCTGGCTAGCTAGCTAGCTAGCCATTAGTTCATCAAATGCTTGGCTAGCAAGGTAGCTGCTCAATTGAACAGCGAGCTGAATGGCTAGCTAGCTAGCTAGCTAGTGGATGCACAACTGCACTTAGTGCCCAGCTAGCTAGCTAGCGATAATCATTCAATTGGCTAGCTAGCTAGCTAGCTAGCTAGCTAGCTAGCTAGCTAGCTAGCCAATCCACTGATGCATCGAGCGATCAGAGAGCTAGCTAACTAGCGAGATAGCTAGCGTACTAGAGAAGCAGCTAGCTAGCCAGCTAGCCAGCTAGCTAGCTGGCTAGCTAACTCCTTAGCTAGATAACTAGCTGGTTAGCAGCAGCAGCAGCAGCAGCAGCAGCAGCAGGCAGAGGCTGCGGCAGGCATATCTGTGTGTCCTCTTTCAGCGTCTGCCTCTCTTAGTCTGTGATTTTCTTTATTTGCTGCTGTTGCTGCTGCTGCTTCAACTGCTGTACTATTGCTGCTGCTGCTGCTGCAGCTGCGGCATTTGTGTCTCGGTGTCTCTGTTTCGTTTGCTGCTGCTGCCAGCAGCAAGCAGCAGCAAGGCACTTTAAGTGGCAGCAAATTCTTTTAGCGAAACCCCCATTATGATCCGAAGTCCCAGCTGCTGCTCCCCACACTGCTGCTGCTGCTGCTGCTGCTGCTGCTGCTGCAGGCCGCTCGAGGTGCAGCTGCAGCAGCAGCCTCCGCCGCGGGCCTGCCGGCTGCTGCTGCCCCCCGGGGCCCGCCAGGGCCTCACCCTCTTCGAGTGGACCAATGGTCTCTCGCTGCAGCTGCGGCTGCTGGGGGTGGTCCAGTGGTCTGCTGCAGTCCACATCCCGCCCCCGGCCAGGCCCGCAGCAGCAGCAGCAGCAGCAGCAGCAGCAGCAGCGGCGGCGGCGGCTAGTACTGCGGCGGCGGCCGGCGGCAGGAGGACGGCGGCGCAGAGCGGCGGCAGGGACGCTGCAGCAGCTGCAGCAGCAGCAGCAGGAGCTGCTGCTGCAGCGGGGGGCGCTGCTGCGCGCAGCAGGGATAACAGACGCAGCTGCAGCAGCAGCAGCAGCAGCAGCAGCGAGGAGAGCAGGCAGCACAAGGGGGCGGCTGCTGCAGCGCCAGCTGCGGGAGAGATCCCTTTGCTGCTCCTGGATGGCTACCCTGCGGGCAGCAGCAGCAGCAGCAGCAGCAGCAGCAGCAGCAGCAGAATGCTGAAGCCCGCAGGCACCCTGGACTGGGCCGCCCCCTCAGCAGCTGCTGAAGGGGACCCTTCTGCTGCTGCTGCTGCTGCTGCTGCTGCTGCTGCTGCTGCTGGGGAGAGCGAGGCGTGGCAGGCGCCGTGGTCGATGACCTTTCCCGTCACCTGCGAGCTTCCGCCGCAGCCGCAGCAGCAGCAGCAGCAGCAGCAGCTGCAGCAGCAGCAGCAGCAGCAGGGTGGGGGGGGCCCCCAAAAGGGACTGGGGGGCCCTTCCCGTTTTGTGCTGCATCCCGCATTTGTCTTTTGCGCTGCGGCTGAAGGGCAGCCGCAGATTCACCCCGGAGGTCCCGCTGCAGGGAGCTGCTGCTGCTGCTGCTGCTGCTGCTGCTGCAGGCAGCCCCGCTGCTGCTGCGGTGCCCGTGGCAGCAGCAGCAGCAGCAGCAGCAGAGACGGTGCATCCTCCGGTGCTGCTGCATCTCAGCCAGGGGCTGCAGCTGCTGCTGCAGTCGGTTCGCCTCAGCAGCAAATTCGGAAGCGCTCTTCTTGTTATAATTAAACCCAAACTCGTGAGCTGCACCTTTTGCTGCTGCTGCTGCTGCTGCTGCTGCTGCTGCTGCTGTGTCTCTTTTTGTCTCCTCTTTTTCTCCTTTTTCTCTTTTTTTTTACCCAAAATTGCATTTATTTGTATTTATTTATATCTACTTATATTTTTTTATATTTATTTAAATTTATTTATATTCAGTTATATTTATTTATGTAAATAAATGCAAATAAATATAAATATTAAAAATATTTATTAAGTGTATACGCATATGCACGCCGGGTGTCTGTACATACAGCCCAACCCCACAAAGCAGATTTTAAAATTTGCATTAAATGCATTTCACTATTTGGCAATTTATTATTCAAACAAATTTAAATGCAGACATTGTTTTTCCATTTGCTGCTGCTGCTGCTGCTGCAGCTGCTGCTAAATGCATGCCCCTTCCCGCTGCAGCTGAAGCCCTTGGGGTGTACAGACACCTCAACTGTCTCCTTGGGACCTCAAGAGACACTCGAGCCCAGCCCTTCCTTCACAGCAGCACAAATCCAGCTGCGCCGCACCAAGCCCTATGCAAGCAGCAGCAGCAGCAGCAGCAGCAGCAGCAGCAGCAGCAGGTCAAGCAGCAGCAGCAGCAGCTGCAGCAGCAGCAGCGCAATTGGGACGCAGCAGGAGACGCTCAGCTTGTTGCTGCGGCAAAAGCTGCACGCGGCTATCTACGGCAATGACCTGCTGACCCCATTGGTGTTCCCTGCTGCTGCTGCTGCTTGCAGCTGCAGCAGCAGCCGCAGCAACAGCAGCAGCAGCTGCTGCTGCGGGCTGTGCCTCGGAAACCTGCAGTGCGAGTGGTCTGTCCCCATAAACATATTCAAGTGCCTAGATGAGCAGCTGGCCCTGCATTGCACCATCCCCCGCAGCAGCAGCAGCAGCAGCAGCAGCAGCAGCAGCAGCAGCAGCAGCACCGAGAGAAGCCCCTCGTTTAGTGGTCTGCAACGAGCTGCTGCTGACTCTTTTCTTAACTCAAAAGGGACAAAAGTTTGCAGCAAATGTCCCTCCCCTTTCGCAGCAGCCGCTGGCCCTCGACGCGCCCTCGGGGGAGCGCGCCTTCCAAGTTGCTGCTCGCAGGTGGCTGCAGCAGCAGCAGCAGCAGCAGCAGCAGCAGCAGCGGCGGCGAAGGCGGCGACGAAGGAGGCAGCAGCAGCAGCAGCAGCAGCAGCAGCAGCTGCTGCTGCTGCTGCTGGAGGAAGAGGGGCAGCCGATGCACCTCCTCGACGCGTCCCTTAATGTAGAAGGAGATGTCTCCTTCTCTTTTCTTGTGGCCGTGCGCACTGCAGCAGCAGCTCAGCAGCAGCAGCAGCAGCAGCAGCAGCAGCAGCAGCAGCAGCAGGCCGCCAACAAACGGACACATGAAGCTCCTGCTGCCGCTAACACTGCAACTCCTTCTCCTGACACTGCAGCAACAAGAGCGCCAACCCCAGCAGAAACGGACGCAGCAGCAGCAGCAGCAGCAGCAGCAGCAGCAGCAGAAAGAGGAGCAGCAAATGCTTCAGGAGACCACACTGACCCCGCCGCTGCTCTGGAGACACCGCAGGGCTCTACCGCGAGCGAGTCACCTGCAGCAGCAGCATTTGTGGGGCGCAGCAGCAGCTTGACTCTTTGCCGCTATTGCTGCCGCCTCTCTGTGCGCATATCTGGCCCCACAGTTTTCTTGCGCTTCACGGGGGAGCTGCTGCCGCTGCAGTTTCCAGCAGCAGCAGCAGCAGCAGCAGGCAGAGCAGCAGCAGCACCTGCTGCTGCTGCTGCTGGGGGGTTGGAAGCTGCTAAACAACGGAGGCATTCACCAGCAGCAGCAGCAGCAGCAGCAGCAGCAGCAGCAGATGGCCCTCGTGGGTGGCTGTGTTTCCCCACACCGCGTCGTCTGGCGCCATTCTATAGGAGAGCAGCAGCAGCAGCAGGCAGCAGCAGCAGCAGCAGGAAAGGCCTCAAGTGTCTCTCTTTCTCACTGTACATACACCGCATCATTGTCTCTGTGGCTGCGGCACCCAGCAGCAGCACTGCAGCAGCAGCAGCAGCAGCAGCGCAGCATGAACATTTGAGGGGCAGCCGCAGGCGCAGCAGCGCCACAGTGGAAGACCTGCAGCAGCAGCAGCAGCAGCAGCAGCAGCAGCAGCACCCCCTCCGTTTGTTCTTGTCTGGAGTGACCTGCAGCAAATACTTTGCCGAGAGCAGCAGAGGTGAGAGCTGCAGTAGCAGCAGCACCAGAGACGCAGCAGCAGCAGAGCTGCAGCCCCACGTAGACATAAAAAAGACACTTTTTAGCAGCAGCAGCAGCAGCAGCAACGGCAGCAGCAACTGCAGCAGCAGCAGCGGGGCATGAAGGGGCTTTTAGGGACACACAGAAACTAATGAAGACGAAGTCAAGCGACCTTAGAAGGCAGAAGCTAGCGTTTGCCGCAGCAGCAACAGCAGCAACAGCAGCAACAGCAGCAACAGCAGCAGCAGCAGCAGCAAGAGTAGCAGCAGCCACAAATTGTCCTACGGTTGCTGTGCTGCTGCTTGTGTCTCCTCTGCAGACGTGTTTCTCCTGTCTCCCCGTGAGGGCCCGCAGGGGTCTCCGTCCTCTTTGTCTGCTTCGTGGTTTGCTGCAGCAGCAGCAGCTGACAGCAGCAGCAGCAGCAGCAGCGGCGCTGCTGCTGCTGCTGCCGCTGCAGCCTTTGGGGGGCCCGCGCTGCTGCAGGGGCCCCTGCGGCCCCTGCCTGCTGCTGCTGAACGCTTCATGCTGACAATTAATAGAGTTGATTGTTTTGTTTATAATGCTGCTGAAGGGAAAAGTTACCATGTCTTTAAGGCTTCTCCTGCTGCAGCAGCAGCAGCAGCGGCCGCAGGCAGCAGCAGCGCAGCAGCAGCAGCAGCAGCAGCGCCGGTCGCCTTCAGATACGCCTCGGGGGGCCCCACAGCTCTTCCTGCTGAGGACCCCGTAGGGTACTTTCCTGCTGCAGTTTATTTCCTCGTTGATATTGCTGTCTCCAAAAAGAGACAACGCAGCAGCAGCAGCAGCAGCAGCAGCAGCAGCTGCAGCAGCAGCAGCAGCAGGAGCGCTGTGTGTCGCTGCTGCTGCGACATGTGCACCGCGCGCAGCACTGCGACTGGCGGCAGCAGCACCACGAGCGACACTAGCAGCAGCAGCTGCAGCAGCAGCTGCAGCAGCAGCAGCAGCAGCTGCAGCAGCAGCAGCAGCAGCAGCAGCTGGCGGCGCTGCGCTGCTGCTGAGAGGGCCGTTTGGCTGTCTCTGGGCAGCAACGTGCGTCGGGTGCAGCAGGCTGTCTTGACAGTGAGTCCCTTAGTGGCGAGTTTTGATTTTACATTTTTGTCTTTGCTGCTGCCGCCGACGCTGCTGTCTTTCTCGGAGCCAGCAGCAGCAGCAGCAGCAGCAGCAGCAGCAGCAGCAGCAGCGCGCGTCGCGGGCGGCCCGGGCGCAGCAGCAGCGGCAGCAGCGGAGGCGGAGGCCACGCTGTCCCGCTGGCTGTGCCTCGCCGTGCCGCGCTTCAGCAGCAGCAGCAGCGGGGCCCCACAGCAGCAGCAGCAGCAGCAGCAGCAGCAGCAGCAGCAGCAGCAGCTGGAAGTGCACGTGGAGCTGCTGTGGGTGGGAGAGTGCTCCGCACATTTGTCTGTCTCCAGACTCTACAGAGTCCTTTCTCTTGAAGGAGCTCTTTTTAGTTTTTCTGCTTTTCTGCTGCGGCAGCGGCAGCTGCAGCTGCGGCATGTGCTGCTGCTGCTGCTGCAGCACTACCAGCAGCAGCTGCAGCAGCAGTGGCTCCAAATGCTCCTCTCCGTCGACATCCTCGGCAGACCCATCTCCCGCATCCGAAAGCTGTGGCACGAAGTGAGCTTTTTGCTGCTGCTGCTGCTGCTGCTGCAGCTGCAGCAGCTCCTGCTGCTGCTGCTGCTGCTGCTGCTGCTGCAGCAGCTCCTGCTGCTGCTGCTGCTGCTGCGCTGCTGCCCTGCAGCCCTCCTTTTTGCTGCTGCCTTTGTGCCTATTTCTCCCCATTTTTCTCTTCTGATTTTCCATTTTCTTTTATATTTCTAATTTATTTTATTTTATTTTACTTTTATTTTATTTTATTTTATTTTGAAGTGCTGCAGCAGCTTGCAGTGTACGTACACTCGAGCCCCACACAGCGATTGCTGCGGAGGATTTTCCGCTTTTTTGAATTTCAGAATTTTCTTTTTTTGTTTTTTCCTTTAATTCCCTTTGCCAACTGCTGCTATTATTTATTCCATTTCATCTCATTTAATCCTGCTTTTGCGCTGCTGCAGCAGCTATTTTTGCATGCAAGCAGCAGCAGCAGCAGCAGCAGTGCTGCAGAAGCTAAGTGGGGCACTGCATGCACTTTTGGGGCTTTTTGCATGCGCTGCTGCTCAGGGCTTCCGCTGGCTGCTGCGGCTGGCCCCACAAGACGCAGCTTCTTCGTTTGCTGCAGTGGACTTGCTGCTGCTGCCCTGGAGCATGCTCTCGCTGCAGCAGCTGCTGCTGCTGCTCTGCGAAACTGTTGCTTTCCACCTCCGCAGAGTCAGGGGGCCCCCCAACTCTCAGGGGGCCCCCCCCCTCCCGCTGCTGCTGCCAGCCCCGCTGCCGGCGCAGCTTGTGGGGCCCCTCCAAATAGCCACGCTGCAGTCAACTAGCCAGCAGCAGCAGCAGCAGCAGCAGCAGCAGCAGCAGCAGCAGCAGAGGAGCCGCAGGCACAGGGACTGCGACGCCTGGAGCAGGGAGGCCGAGGCGAGCTTTGCGGCTGACCGCCAGCAGCAGCAGCAGCGGCGGCAGCAGCGCATGCAGCAGCGCATGCAGCAGCAGCAGCAGCAGCAGCAGCAGCAGCAGGAGCTGCTCTCGGAGGAACGCTCTGTCTCTCCTTCTTTGCCAGCCATCTACAGCAGCCCCTACTGCGCCGTTGCAGAGGGGCCCCCTCTCTCTTGTCTAAGCCCTCTGGGGCCCCCAATGGGGCCCCCAGTGGGGCCCCCAATGGGGCCCCCAATGGGGCCCCCTGGGGGCCCCCCCGTGAGCCGCCCACTGGGGCCTTCTTTGGGGCCCCCCGTAGGGCCCTCCGTGGGGCCCCCTATGGGGCCCCATAGGGGGCCCCCTCTGGGGGCCCTTGTGGGGCCCCACAGGGGGCCCCATGGGGGGCCCCCTGTGGGGGCCCCTGTGGGGCCCCCTGTGGGGCCCCCAATGGGTTCCCCTGTGGGGGCCCCTATGGGGGCCCCTATGGGGGCCCCTGTGGGGGCCCCTGTGGGGCCCTTTGTGGGTGCAGAGTGTTTTGATGAAGTGCCTTTTGTGTCTTCTGGGTTTTCAAAAGAGGCCCCATTTGAGGTGTACAGGCAGGTGGGCCCCCCTGGGGTGTATAGGCAGGGGGGCCCCCCGCCGGCTTTTTTGTCTCCAGCAGCATCTGAAGAAGCAGATTCTCTTCCTTGGGA